TTTGTATTTTAAATCATTTTTTACCATTATAAGTTAATAAGTATAATTTAAATATGAAACTAATTATTAAAAATTTGCCCAAAAAAGGTTTCTCAGGAATTGAGGAATGGTGGAAAAAAATGTGTTCGACGAGTTTCATGAGGAAGATAAAGCATCTAGAGACGTATAGAGACGAATGGAAAGATCATCGTTTGGTTTCTCAAGCTTATCAAAATTTCTCTTTCTACGTATAAACAAAATGTGAGATTTTATAAGATCAAATCAGATTTGATATACCAAAATGTTTTAGGCGAATTTCGTAACGACACGCATGTAAAAAGGCTAGAGATTGAAAACCACCTCACTTCCGTTAAGAAATTTAAACATTATTAACCAATCCTTCTGATGTTTCTTTTCTTACAAAAAAAGAGAGTAGAAGTCCAAGTTGCAAACCGTTCCCTAAAAGCTATACTGAGTCTTTGGGTACATAGTGAGCACAAAGTTAACTATTCTTTCACCTTTAACAGCACTCAAACAACCAACACAATGGCAAAACACAAATTTATTGTTTGTAAAACACAAAAGCAATGAATTTCATTTGTTGTTCTATCGTGGACTTAAATCCAAGAAAAAACACTAACAATCAAACACCTCGAAATAATTCCATAGAAAACAGTATAGCATATTGTTCTTACAGGTGGAGAGAAATAAATTCAATTATCTTCCGAACCACATAAATACCAAACCGAGCAAACTCATCGCATTTTCTAGTCTCTTTCTCTAAGTCAACAACCATTGACTTCAACATCCTTTGCTTCTTCTCCATTTCTACTACCGCGAACTTTGTCACCAGATCTCTCAATTCCGTCACAAGATTAAGGATAGTCATAACTTCATTCAAAACCACCCTCATGCATCTCTCCAAGGAAATTATCACAATTTTTTAATCTTCAAAACCTCCCTTGACTTTCTTCTAATCAAAGCTCCTAGCCGATCGCGCTTCAACTGATGGTCGGTACTGGTCTGCTTCTTATCAAGCTTAGAAATCATATCGAGAATGTTACTGCCATATCTAATAGATTTCCTCTAGATCTTTATTGTCGTTGTTCTCTAAACAATTTCTAAGAAATTCACATAGTTTTGTGATTTTTCTACTAGTGATGAAATAAGCGTTGAGAAGAGTAAGAGTGCAAATGATTACATTTTTAGAGGAACAAAACTTGATGGAATTGAGCATTCATCCAAAGTGTTACCATTTAAATTGAATAAAAATTAGTCGAATTTACCATTCCTCTAAAAGTTCACCATTTAGATTGAAAAGTGTTAAACAATTATTCAACTTGTTTCACCAACAAAAATTGAAAAAATGAATAAATTTGGTGGAAAACATTCTTCGACAAAATAGGATAATAACAAGTGAAACAAATTTCTGTTTTTAACTTCCTTTTTCCACTCATCAATTTTTCCATCCTGGTATAGTAAAAGAGAAAGATGGTGAAAGTGAAAATATAAGGAGTTAAGGGGTGGAAATGTGAAGATATAGAAGTCGTAGGCCAGAAATGAGAAGTGAAGAAGAGTTAAAGACTAATATCATAAATTGATGGCCTTTTGACCGAAGAATCTCAATGGCTTTTTGACCCAAGAATAATTGTCTCACGTAAATGGCACAACAGTCCTTACCATCAATCCAATCGTGCCACGTGGCAGTCATCGGAGCTGGAGCTGCCGGGCTAGTGACGGCGAGAGAGCTTCGACGGGAAGGTCACTCGGTGGTTGTCTTCGAGAGGCAGAATCAAGTCGGAGGAACTTGGATCTACACCGATCATGTCGAGCCCGATCTCCTAAGCGTTGACCCGACCCGACCCGTTGTTCACTCGAGCGTCTATAGCTCTCTCCGAACCAATCTTCCTCGAGAGTCTATGGGATTCAGAGATTTTCCGTTCGTTTTCCGATCCGGCGTCTCCAAATCGAGAGATCCGAGGAGGTTTCCGAGTCATCGTGAAGTTTTGGCGTATCTGCAAGATTTCGCTAAGGAATTTGGAATCGAAGAGATGATACGGTTCGAGACGACGGTTCTACGTGTTACTCCGGTGGAGAAAAGCGACGGCGAAGGAGGAATCGGGAAATGGAGGATTGAATCGACAGAGAAAGAGAAGAAAGTTGGTTGTGATGAGATTTACGATGCTGTTGTTGTTTGTAATGGACATTACACTGAACCTTGTCTCGCTGAAATTCCTGGTAACTTCAACATCTTGATCTTCCATAGATTCGTGTGTTAAGCTCGAATTTGAATATAGAATGTCATAGGAAGTGTGATTGTGATTTTTACTCGAGAATCGTTTTTCAGGGATAAGTTCTTGGCCAGGGAAAGAGATGCATAGCCATAATTATCGTATTCCCGAACCATTCAAAGATTTGGTACTGATTTCGTAGATGATAATGATCAGATTCTTATGTAATGCTAAATTTCACGTTACATTGATTATAGGTTGTTGTGCTTATTGGAAACGCTCCAAGTGGTAATGATATAAGTAGGGACATTGCTAGAGTTTCCAAAGAGGTTCATGTGGCTTCTAGGTCTAATGCAGCTGATACGTTTATCAAGCAGTCCGGTTACAGTAACCTGTGGACGCATTCAATGGTGAGTTAAGCTCTTAAGTAGTACTTAACCGTAATTCGTTGATCAGGAGAGAAATAACGGTTAATGTTTCATTGAACGCACCATGCAGATAGAGCGTGTCCATAAGGATGGTTCTGTGGTTTTTGAGAACGGGAAAACGATTTTGGCCGATGTTATTATGCATTGCACAGGGTAATTCTTTCGGCTTTGAGTTTTATGGTTTTCCTTTTCGAGAGTTTGTAAGCTTAAAAAAGCCCTTTCCTTTTTGTTCAAAGGTATAAGTATCACTTTCCGTTTCTTGATACCAATGGAAGTGTTACCGTAGATGATAAACGTGTTGGACCATTGTACAAACACATCTTCCCTCCAACATTAGCACCATGGCTCTCCTTCGTTGGGATACCATGGAAGGTCACATTTTCCCTGAGCTTCTAATTCATTGTTACATTTCAGTAATCCCTAACAAATCTGATTTCAGGTTTTGCCATTTCCCTATGTTTTTTCAGGTTTTGCCGTTCCCTATATTTGAGTTGCAAAGCAAGTGGGTTGCAGGTGTTTTGTCGGGTCGAATCACACTTCCTTCAGAAGAAGATATGATGGTGGAAATCGAAACCTTATACGCAACACTTGAAGCCCAAGGGATTCCTAAGCGATATACTCACTGTTTGGGTATTAGCCAGGTACAATAATCTCTAACTTATGATTCTGCTGGGAGACCAAATCTCTAAACCGAAGGTGAACAAAGACGCCTTTAATTTTTTTTGTTTTGTTGTTTCTTGCTCGTTTTTGTGGGTGTGTGCTTTTCCACAGCTTGAGTACAAGAATTGGTTGGCTTCACAATGCGGGTGCTCGGGAACAGAGGAATGGAGGTTAGAGATGTTTTTGACGACTATCATGAGGAATAGAGAGCATCCGGAGACGTATAGAGACGAATGGGAAGATCATCACTTGCTTGCTCAAGCTTATCAAGATTTCTCTTTGTACGTATAAACAAAATGTGAGATTTGATAAGATCAAATCAGATTTGATATACCAAAAGTTTTAGGCGAATTTCGAAACGGCACGCGCATAAAAAGGCTAGAGATTGGAAACCGGCTCACTTACGTTAAGAACAATTTAAACATTATTAACTAATCCTTCTGATGTTTCTTTTCCTACAAAAAAGTAGAAGTCCAAGTTGCAAACCGTTCCCTGAAAGCTATACCGAGTTCTTGGGGACATAGTTAGCACAAAGTGAACTATTCTTTCGCCTTTAAGAGCACTCAAACAACCAACACAATGGCAAAACAAAAATCGGTAACACATAAATTCGAACTAAAACAAAAGTTTTGACTAGAAATAAGACCACATTCGATTCAAAACACAAATCCATATGGGTTGAAAAATGCAAAAAGCATATATATATGGTAAACTAAACCTTTACGCATGAACGCAAGAAGTGGAGTTTGGTAGCTTCGTCCTCCCATTCCACACCTTCAATCCATTCTCTCTCTCGGTATCTTATGACAAGTCCCTTTTGACCTTCCAAACCGCTTTTAGAATCGAGCGGAAGTCTTTTCAGCTTTGGACATCCGATTGCGACGATTGTCTTTAGACATGGAAAAGGCAGAGGACTCCAATAGATGTTTTGTAGTTCCGGTACACTAGACAAGCGTAAGAATTTCAGTTTTTGAAAAGGAACAATCCTCGGTTCTTCGCTTACACTAGCTGTCTCTTTGCTTATTATATCTTCTAGTTGTTCTGAAGACTCGACATCAATATATGTAAGACTTGGAGCATACATCAACCACGTCAACTCCCGTAGACTTTTACAACCTTGTACATACACATCAGAAAGACTCAAGAAGCATGGATTTATCGGATTGAGCAACGGAGAATTCGTCTCGCTTCCAATGCATGCCATATCAATATTTATCTCAGAGATAGTGCAGCCAAGTAAGTCGAGATATTGGAGGTTGTTCATAGTCGTCGAAAATGATATTCCTGATGATTCTAGTTAAAGACCACTGATCTCTAAATCTCGTGTACGACTCATCAACTTGCGAGAGCTTAAAAACTGAACCAAACCTGAATCAAAACCAATTCCAATGGTTAAAACTGCTAAGAGTTCCAAGACTTACAACTCCTCCACTGTGCTGAGATCCAACGAAACACCAGAACCTCGCAGTCTCAGTACTTTCAAACCCAGTAGACTTGATATCCCAACAATACTCGAAAGGTTCCATGTGAACTCCAAATTCAAGTAAAGCAACTTTTTCAACTCTAGTAAACCGAGAGGCAGACGTTGTATATTTGTTTCGACATGTTGAGATACCGCAAAGAAACAAGCTCTGATATTCCTTCGGGCAATTCCTGTTATACGAAAGATCCAAAACAACTAGCTTTGACATGAACCGAAAGAATCCAACCGAGATATTTGACAATGCCTCATTTTTCTGCATGGGCAATGTCGTAAGTTCAAGACATTCAGGACTGCCAGAGAGAGTTTCAATCTTATTATTCATCAATGACATCCTTCTCACAACATTCCAATTTTTAACTTTTGGTGTTTCACACAACCCCGCGCGTGCGCGCACAATGAAATGATCTTTTGTTTTCCAAAATCAGAAGCTATCCACAACGCCATCTCACGAACAACATCATGCATATAAACTTGATATAAGGCCTCCCTTTCATCTTCAATTAACAAAGATGCACGAATAAGGGTACCGATTGTCTCATAACCCTCGTTTTCAGCTTTCTCTATACCTTGATTTCCATCTACAATCCCCTCGCGTATCACATAATTTACCAGTTCATCTTTATAAATTCTCTCATCTTCTGGAAACAGAGAGCAATATTGTAAACACAACTTCACTTTCTCACCCTTTAAATTGTCGCAACTATACTTCAAAATCGGAAGAATCTCATCTTCCATACCAGAAAATTCCGCAGCATATGAAGTCAAAACAGTAACTGCATGCTGCCATTCTTGAATCGTTCTTTTGCATGACATAGTTTCGCCAATGACGTTAAGTGCTAGAGGTAGACCGTAACACTTTTTAGCAATCATGTTTGCAAGCTCAGGTATGTTTGGATGACATCCTAATGTGATCTCCCCAACTTTCTTTAGGAACAAATCCATTGCATCTTGAGGTGCTAGACATTGGACTTCCATCTCAATATCAACGCCCATGCGTCTACACACTTCTTGAGAACGAGTGGTGAAAATTACTTTGCATCCGTTTTCAACACTTGGGAAAGGGATTCCAATCTCAGATAGATTCAGTTTTTCCATATGTCATCCAACAACAAGACAAATTTCTTCTTCTTTAGGATATTATGTATGTCACATGCCTTTTGATTTCCATGTTTTTGGTTCCAATCAGCTCCAACAAGGCCTATTTTGTTTGCAATCTCTTCTTGAATCTTTTGAATATGTGAATCTTTAGATACCACAATCCAAATCACAATATCAAAGACATGATCTCCATTATGTCTAAATTTGTTGTTGATCTGCGTGAGAAGTGTAGTTTTGCCAACTCCACCATACCATACAAACCCATAAGACCCACTCCATCTTCTATTAGACAGTCCCACGCCTTTTTAAGCATTGTTTCTCGACCGAAAATTCCCAGTTGGATAGGCCTCTCCTCTACCTCAGAAGCTTGACCTTGCTCAGCAACCACTTCAAAATCTCCACAAGATTTTAGATTCTCAACTTCCCTCAACATCAAAACAACCCTTTTCCCATAACGGTAACTTGATTTTAAATTCTTAGAGCAAAACACACAAAGAGACAACCTTTGAGTTTCAACACTTGTAGCAACAAGAAGATCATTGACTTGGATTTCGATGGTCTCGAATCTAGTAAGCCATACCTGGACTTGGGAAAGCCTTCGTAGACCTTTATCTTTCTCTCTCTCCACCTTTTTGGACAAATCATCATGCCTTGCTTGTAGCTCCTCCATAGTTGTCTCCAAAGCCTTGAGATTCTCCTTGAGATTGTGAATATAACCCACTCTGATGCATAACCATTGAAAGACTTGATATGAACATTGATCACATGATATCGAGAAAGAGATGCAATTCCCCATAATATCACAGATGAAGCAATTAGAATATTACTGATATGAACAAACAATAGAGATCCAGAGAGCAATTAGATTAAAGTCAACTGGAAAATAGTACAGAAACTAATCAGTCACAAAGAATGAAAGGAAGAGACGTAGTCAAAAGATCATGATTTTATTTGTATAATTATGCATATATAATTATGACGGCTTTTGTGACT